GGCTCAGGTCATCATCTCACAGTTAGTGAGGTGGCCTCTGTGCTGACAGATGGAGCCTGCTTGGGATTTTCTCTCTCTCCCCTCTCTCTGCCCCTCCCGCACTCGTGTGCACAAGTGCGCATGCGTGCTCTCTCTCTCCCTCAAAATAAATAAATAAACTTAAAAATATTTTTTTCAATGAAGTAACTGCTGATGCACAACACAGTGAATACCTATAGGCTTTGCACACCTTGCATTTTTGCAAACTTTTACATTTGTCTAAGTCCTTTCTGCTTCACACATATTTTTACCACCATCAGTTGTAATACATCTTTGCAGATTCCACTTCAGGTTGTATTGAATTAGTGTTTCCTCAACTTCTTTGAAAATATTCTGTTCATTCAGAGTATTGATGGAGACTAATCCTACCATCATTTCAAATATGGCGTTGACTCCTTGAATAAACAATAATGACTGAGCAGTATCAGTAACATCTATTAACTCATCAAAGCCAAGGGAATAATCTGCTTTGACTTTCAATTGATTGCTGACTTGCTTCCCACGTTCTCTTCTGCCCCCAAATTTCATAGTAGTAAACAAGTTAATTTTTTCTGCACACATTTTGTCAGCTGATGCAATCAAACCCAATTTAATTAATTCACCATCAGTAAATGGCATTTGTTGTTCGGCTAACGAATGACTCAGTAACTTCAGCTGCAGCTTCATTTTCCTTCTCTACATTTTTGAAGAAGTTCTGATGTAATGAAATAGTCTGTTTTAAATATCTCACGTAGAAGATATATTCTCTCTTAAATTTTCTAGTTTTTTTCTGATGGGTGTTCTATGAGTCAAGAATGTTGTGTTGAGTTTTTAGTCAATAGATATCATATTTTTTTGGCTATCATTTTATCGCATAATAAACACAATGCATTGCCATCTAATTCAATAACAGAAAATTCACATTCCTTTGGATTATTGTTCAGGTCTACACCTCAGCCCAGCTTCTCCTTCTGCCTAATTCTGCTACTGTCTCACTTTCCACATGTGTGCGTCCTAAGAGCGCCCTCCTACTAGCCATCATGTTTCTTGTTCCAAGAGAAAAGCCTACTTCTGAGAGGAGTAGAAGTGTAGGAGTGGTCTGAGAAAGCTGGTGATCAGATGGGGGTTTTGGAGCTGTATTGCCCTTTGCTAGCCTCACACTGAGGACCCCCTCACTGCCAGTACCTGGAACACAGATAGCTCTTAACATAAAGTGATGGTCCAGTTGTGAAAATGTTCACTGGTGGTGAATTGAGATGGTATGCCTACGGAAGGGAATGTACCAGGCACCTGAGAAACATGGAGGGGGGAAACTAACAGCACAATGGCACTGGGTGGCAATTACTAAGCTTCACTGAGGTCTTAGGGAAAAACTTTTTTAAAGACTAGGAGTAATTAACAGGCAATTGGAAACCATGTATAAAAGCTAGAGGGCCTTTCTGGCAGCATACAGAAAAGCGACCTTCAAGGATCTAAAGAATCCATACTCTTTTTCTTTTTTTAAAAAAGTTAATTGGCACAAAAACAGACACATAGACCAATGGAATAGAATAGAAACCCCAGAACTAGACCCACAAACGTATGGCCAACTCATCTTTGACAAAGCAGGAAAGAACATCCAATGGAAAAAAGACAGTCTCTTTAACAAATGGTGCTGGGAGAACTGGACAGCAACATGCAGAAGGTTGAAACTAGACCACTTCCTCACACCATTCACAAAAATAAACTCAAAATGGATCAAGGACCTGAATGTGAGACAGGAAACCATCAAAACCTTAGAGGAGAAAGCAGGAAAAGACCTCTCTGACCTCAGCCGTAGCAATCTCTTACTCGACACGTCCCCAAAGGCAAGGGAATTAAAAGCAAAAGTGAATTACTGGGACCTTATAAAGATAAAAAGCTTCTGCACAGCAAAGGAAACAACCAACAAAACTAAAAGGCAACCAACGGAATGGGAAAAGATATTTGCAAATGACATATCGGACAAAGGGCTAGTCTCCAAAATCTATAAAGAGCTCACCAAACTCCACACCCGAAAAGCAAATAAGCCAGTGAAGAAATGGGCAGAAAACATGAATAGACACTTCTCTAAAGAAGACATCCGGATGGCCAACAGGCACATGAAAAGATGTTCAGCGTCGCTCCTTATCAGGGAAATACAAATCAAAACCACACTCAGGTATCACCTCACGCCAGTCCGAGTGGCCAAAATGAACAAATCAGGAGACTATAGATGCTGGAGAGGATGTGGAGAAACGGGAACCCTCTTGCACTGTTGGTGGGAATGCAAATTGGTGCAGCCGCTCTGGAAAGCAGTGTGGAGGTTCCTCAGAAAATTAAAAATAGACCTACCCTATGACCCAGCAATAGCACTGCTAGGAATTTATCCAAGGGACACAGGAGTACTGATGCATAGGGGCACTTGTACCCCAATGTTCATAGCAGCACTCTCAACAATAGCCAAATTATGGAAAGAGCCTAAATGTCCATCAACGGATGAATGGATAAAGAAATTGTGGTTTATATACACTATGGAATACTACGTGGCAATGAGAAAAAATGAAATATGGCCTTTTGTAGCGACGTGGATGGAACTGGAGAGTGTGATGCTAAGTGAAATAAGCCATACAGAGAAAGACAGATACCATATGGTTTCACTCTTATGTGGATCCTGAGAAACTTAACAGGAACCCATGGGGGAGGGGAAGGAGAAAAAAAAAAAAAAGAGGTTAGAGTGGGAGAGAGCCAAAGTATAAGAGACTGTTGAGAACTGAGAGCAAACTGAGGGTTGATGGGGGGTGGGAGGGAGGAGAGGGTGGGTGATGGGTATTGAGGAGGGCACCTTTTGGGATGAGCACTGGGTGTTGTATGGAAACCAATTTGACAATAAATTTCATATATAAATAAAAAAATAATAAAACAAAAAAAATAAAAAAAAAATAAAAAAATAAAAAAGTTATTAATTTTTTTAAGTAATCTTTACACCCAAAGTGAGGCTTGAACTCACAACCCCAAGATCTAGAATTGCACCCTCAACTAACTGAGCCAACTAGGTGTCCTTCCCCATCATTTTTCTATTTAACTCACCAGTATTGTTCCCACACAAATCAGACGAAACCTAGAGAGTGGAAGTAGATGGCCAGATAAGACACCCAAGGAGGAGCCCTATTGCAGCCCCCACACCAGGTTTCGTATCTTTGCTAGAAAAATCAACAGAGTCTTAGATACATTTTATGTGGACATTGATTTGATGAACGGGTTCTTTTTTTTTTTTTTTTCAACGTTTATTTATTTTTGGGACAGAGAGAGACAGAGCATGAACGGGGGAGGGGCAGAGAGAGAGGGAGACACAGAATCGGAAACAGGCTCCAGGCTCTGAGCCATCAGCCCAGAGCCCGACACGGGGCTCGAACTCACGGACCGCGAGATCGTGACCTGGCTGAAGTCGGACGCTTAACCGACTGCGCCACCCAGGCGCCCCCAATGAACGGGTTCTTTTTAATCCCTATGAGAAGAATGGCTGAGAAACAGTATGCATTCACATGGGACATAAACCAGTATGTGTACATCTATGGTGTTCCCCCAGAGCTATGTTAACTTTCAGCCTCTCTCATAATGCGGCCACAGAGATCAGGACCGTTTGGACATCCCACAGAACATCACACTGATCTATTACACCGATTGCATCATACTAATTCAGCCAGATGTACAAAATGCAGCCAGCACATTAGAGGCCTTGGTCTGACACATGTACTCCAGAGGTGGGAGATAAGCTGCATAAAGTTGAGGAGCCTGTCCTATCAGAAAGATGTTTAGGGGTCCAGTGTCAAGGACATGCCACATATCCTGTCCAAAGAAAAAGATAAATTATTGCACCTCCTACAATGAAGAAGGAAGCATAATGCCTGGTAGTTCTCTTTGGGTTCTGGATATAGTATATTGCACACTAAGAATATTGCTCTGGCGCATATACCAGGTGATGCAAAAAGCTACAGGCTTTAATTGGAACTCCGGAAAGGAAAAGGTTATACAGCAGGTTCAGGCTTTGGTGCAAGCAGTCTTGCTACTTGGCCATATGCTTCTATCTATATATCATATAGATGGTATGCATGATATTAGTGTTTTCAGTGGTAGAAAAAGAGGCTGTGTGTAATTTATGGCAATTTCCACTGGGAATCACAACATAAGTCCTTGGGGTGTTGGAGCAATGCCATGCCATCTATAGGAGAGATTTATGTGCCTTTTGAAAAAAAAACCAAACTGCTGGTGTACTACTGGGTCTGATTTTGAGATGCCAAGTGAACACATGTCAGGAACTACCTTATGAGCCAGGTTCTATCAAACCTACTAAGACATAATATCAGGCAGCCAGCAACAATCCATCCTATGGTGGAAGTGGCACATCTGGGATTGAACACATGTAGGCTTACAGATGGTTTACACAGGTTTTGCTTGAGCAGGCAGCCCAGATGCCAGACCATCACACCACCATTATAATAGCACCTCCTCAGATCACACTGATGGCTGTATGTAGGATCCCTTACAACCAGCTGAAAAGAGGAAAAATCCTGTATTTGGCTAGTGTAAAGTTGTCTCAGTTTGTGACCTCAAGCTGAGAATGGATGGCAGTTACAATACAGCCTGAATTAGTGGTGGCCTTGAGAAACAGTGGTGAAAGATCTCAGTGCGCAGAACTTCAGGAGGTGCACCTGGGCATCTACTTTGTGGATAGACAAGTGCCCCCAAGGTTGGAATATATATGAACTCAGGGGCAATGGTAAAGACTCTATGGCTAGTAAGGGCCTGGAAGAAGAAATTTAGGAAGATTAGGGACAAGGATTGTGGGATAGAAGCACAAGGACGGATAGGTGTATAGGTGCATCACCACAAAGTATGAAGATCTTTTTTTAAGTAGGCTTCACACCCAACGTGGGGCTTGAAATCATGACTCCAAGATCACGATCAAGATCAGTGCTTTATTGACTGAGCCACCGAGGCCACTAGTATGAAGATCTTTGTATCACATGTTGACACCCACCAGAAAGCATCCACCATGAAAGAGGCACTAAATAACTAAGAAAAGCAAAATTCACTTGGCCAGATGACTTCAGCTAGTCTCTGTCATCAGCCACCCAGTGCTGGCACTAAGGACACGTGAATAAAGAGGTTACAGCAGCAGAGACAGAGGCTAGTATGAGTAATAGCATAGGCTCCCACTTACAAAAACTAATTTTAGCTACTGTTGCTATTGAATATACCCCCAATATAATAACAACTATTCAGGAGACTAATCGGCAATATAGTGGCAAGTTGACTACATTGAACCCCTTCCATTCTGGAGGAGCCATGATTCATCCTAACAGGAATTAACATATATTCTGGATGCTGTTTACTTTCCCTGCCCGCAAGATCTTAACCAGCACCATTGTCTGAGGTCTTTTTGAATATTTCATTCACCACCACAAGTGATCTTACATAACATCATGTCAGATCAGGGACCCAACTCACTGAAGTGGAGGTTCAGGAATGAGTCCATAATCACAGGGTTTGCTCATCTAGTCATATACGGGACCACCCAGAAGCTACTTCCCTGATAGGGCATCAGAATGGCCCTCTTGAAGCACCAGCTTGGAGGCAATACTTTATGAGGATGGGGTTCATCTTCCAGGATACCATGTACATCTTGAATCAAAGACTTTCATATGGTGCCATGTCCCCACTCAGAAGAATTCATGGACCCAGGAACCAAGGGGTAGAATCAGGAGGGACCTACTACCATCACTCTCAGTGGGCACCTGTGGAATTTGAGCTTCCAACTCTCACAACTCTGGACTCTGCAGGGTTAGAGATATTTGTCCCCCGAGGGGGAATCTTCCACCAGAGGATACAGCAAGAGTACTATTGATCTATAAGCTATAGCTACTACCTGAGCACTTTGGGCACCTTGTTTGCAGAGACCAACAGGCAAGAAGGAGAATCATCATCTTGGCCAGTTTGAATGCTTCTCAGTACTCTCTTGCTCGATTTTGACAATAAGGGGACAAGTGCAGTGACCTTGGCCTGAGAAGGCATGGTGGTCAGGGGCTCATATCCTCAGGTAAGCCACTGAGACCAGAGGAGATGCTAACTGAGGGTGAGGAGAATTTAGGATTGAAAACAATGAAGGAGGCAATGAGTACTAGTTGTGGCCCCTGGACAGGAACAGTAATTGGGGCTGTAGTTCGTCCCACTAATGCTCATCTTCTAAGTTTCCATCAGGAATTCTGGAGGAGCTCTCCTGAAACTGGCCTGTGGAGAAGAAAAAAGACAGTGAGGTGTTTTCCAAAGTAGACTGGAGTGTTGTCTTCTAGGGTTGACTGTGGCAAATCCACCCTCCTTTCCCCCACCCATTTCTTCCTTCCTTTTCTCCTTGGACAAACATTTCTATTAACACTCACTAAACATCCACATACATGAACCAGCTAATAAAAACCATGGGTCTTACCACCAAAGCAGCTCATAAATTAGTGGGAAAAACAGACACCCAAACATGTATACAGAAATTGCGCTAATATAAATGTTTTAGTGTTCACATTTTGGTAGTACTTGACCTCCATGTAAATATGGAACTCCTCCACACTCCCCCCGAAACCCCCCAGGGAGCATCTCATGTGTGCTCATGAGCAGGTCCGGTCAGTTATCGCAGACTTTGGCAGTTTTCTGCCTTTACCTCTCTTCTGGCTCTGCTCTTCCAGAAATCATCCTGATCCATGGGTATTGCCCTTCTGCTGGCACAGATGCTGCTGATTCACTGGAGCCTGGGAGGTGACAAAGCTGTCCTGTGGTGTGGGGCTAGGGAATGTTCTCCCTCCTTTTCTGTTTTGCTTTCTCATGGGGGGAGGGCATGAAGGAGGTTAATTTGTGTACCATTTTTTAAACATTGCATTTAGTCCCTTTTAGTTTTTACTTAAAGTACTCTTCACTTTTCCTTACACTTCCACAGAACTCAGACATGAGTCCAGTGGGGGACCAGATTGGGAAGCAAATGCAGTGCTAAATGGAATACTGCATTGTCCTTCCCACATATAGATTCACTGGGGGCATCCAATGGCCCGAGTCTACTCATGGGCACAGACATGGTTTCAGTGGTTGCAACGTATGTTCAAGCTGAGTCCTTGTTCGCAGAACCAGGAGGATGAAGGAGAGGGAAGGATTCATTTATCCTGGAAGATCAGGGAAGACCTTACAGAAGAAATGTCACTTGAGCTGAGTGTTAAAGGTGGAGTAGAGGTGGGGAAGAGGCAGAGCAAAAACTGAGCACAGGCCCCTTAGAATGTTTGTTGACTCAGTGTTCTTGCCCAGGGAACTTACATTCCCATGGAAGCAGATCAACAATAAACAAATGAACAAAAATGTGCATCCTGTTAGGTGGTGACAAATGCCAAACAGAAAAATCAAACATGAGGGAAGGAGGCTATTTTATCTAGAGTGGCCAAGGCTGGCCTTTCTGGAAATGTAGCGTTTGGGCACAGACCTCAGCGAAGTGATGAAAAGAGCCTTCTGGATCCCCAGGAAAGAGATTTCAGGCAGAAGGAACAACCGAAGTGCAAAGCCCTGAGATGAGAGGCTCTTGGTGAATTCAAGAGCAGCAAGGCCTATGTCTGGGGCACGGTGATAGAACAGGGTTTTGAGCAGAGGACACAATCAGTTTGCTATTTGGAGAAGAGACTTCAGGAGGCAAGGGGATAAACAGAAAGAACAGTTAGGAGGCTCCTGAATGATCCTGGTGATAGAAATAGGGACGGTGTAGTGGTAGAGGAATAAATAAAGAGGTGTTGGTAGAAGTTGTTGGATTCTAGGCATCATCTGAAGGTAGAGCCAATGGGATGTATTAGTTAGACTTCACCAGGATGGAAAGGTTGTTGATAAATTGGGAATTGAGACCATTTCTGAACATATGACTCCCCTGCTTAAAAGTGTCATGGTAAAGTTCAGACCTTTTTAGTGAGTCATTGATTGGTTTGTTGATTCATCCAACAAATACTGACTGAATGCTTACTATGAGCCAGACACTGTTGAAGACACAATAATTTAAAAAAGGTAGGACATACAGTCAGATGGATGAGACAGACAAGTAACCAGGTCATTACAACCCATGTGACAATTGTCAATAAAGGGGAAAATAGGGGCACATGGGAGAGGTATCCAATTCAGAGTTGGTGGGGAGAGGAGTTTCCAAGCTGAAATTTCAAGAATGAATAGGTATTAAACAGTTAAAGGAGTAAAGGGAGAGTGAGGAAGAAGAGTGGGGAGGCAGAGGGGGTAGGGCATGGAGGATAGTTCTTTATGGCCCTGGGGGATGAGAGGGAGGGGAAAGACAAGGCTCAAGAGAAAGGGAAGGATGAGCTCACAAAGGGCTCATAAGTTATATTAAGGGGTTTGCATTTTATCCTAAAAGCCAATGGGGAGTCACTGAAGTATATTCAACAAGGGAGTAATATCACCAATTTACCTTTTTGAAAGAGTCTTTTGGTTGCAATGGGAGATGGATTGGAGGGTGGAGAAGACTAGAAGGTGGGAGAACAGTGAGAAGGCAACTGTAACCATCCAAACACGGAGAGGGGTAGAAAAGAGTCCTAGATGGATTTGGGAGCTATGTGGGAGTGGAATCACTAGAACTTAATGACTGATAGGGTAAGTGGATAAAGGGGAGAAAGGAGTCAAGTATGGTCCCTAGGTTTCTTGCTTGAGCAGTTGGGTGGAGGTGGAAAGCATTTGCTGAAAAGGGGAGTACAGGAGAATCAAATCTGGAGGGGGATGCTGTCAATGTGTACATGTGGGTTTGAGATGTTGAGGGACATCCTGTGGAGATGTCCAAGTAGGTTGGGGGATATGTGGATCCAAAGGTCAGGAGAGATTTGGCACCAACAGCACTGAAACCAGGATGTGGGTAGGGTGCCCAGGGACAGGTAGAGGAGAAGAGGAGAGGAAGAGGATAAGGCCAGGGAAGGGGAGAAGGCCAGGGTCAGCCCCAATTCCCCAAATTCAAGGCTTTCCCCAACTACTGTTCCAGTTGTATCTCCAGCCATCCTGCTTCCTTTTACAGCCAGCACACAAAGTTCTGCCCCTGTCCTTGGGTCTTCACCTCACGTTCCTTCCTGGTTTTTGCCCACACGGTTCTTTCCTCCAGAACCTAGCTCAAACATCATCACTTCGGTGAATCCCTCTTTCCGTAATAAGAAATTTGTATGTTTCCTTCAGAGTCTGGTGAGGTCAACTTCTTATGCATCCTTTTACTATATTCCCCTGACCTGGAAAATGTGTTTAGCACGTTACAGGTGGAGCGTTGACATGCGTGAATAAAAAAGCAAACAAAAGAATAACTGGGGGGGGGGGGGGCACTCCATCCAGCGGGCTGGCAGCCAGGAGACTGACGTCATCAGCTCAGGGTGAAAATTCACTTTCAGAACGTTGCCCACTGTGGGGCTGAGAGGCATTCTGGGCCATCACTGTCGCTGGTAGTTCACCAGCTCCGCCAGCCATTCAGCCGCTGCACTTCACCCGAGCCTCACCTTTGCCCTACTTCCAAGCCCAGTCCCTAACTTTCCGCCAACCCCGTTGGTTGCGCGACTGCCCAATGGGCAGACAGAAACCGTGAGCTCTCGCTCTTCCCTTGAGCCGTTTCCGCTCTCGTTAGCGCGTCTCGCGAGCGTTACAGTGACTCGCAGAGGCGGCGCTGCTTGGTTAGGCTACCGGAGGCCGTGAGACTGACGGTGCTTCTAGGCGGACGGGAATAGAGACCATGTTCCGAGCGGCGGCTCCAGGCCAGCTCCGGCGGGCGGTGAGTCCTGGAGGGAAAGGCAGAGGCCGATGACGGCCCATCCTCAGTGTACTGCCCCTGTGAGTGCCTTGGCGAAGGTCATAGTCTTCCACAGACCTGACCAGCCTTAACGCAGGCAGGCCCAGCACGGTCTGTGGCTCAGGCCCGAAGTTCTAGGGTCTGCCCTTGACTCCTTCCCGGTGGACCGCGGGGTGGCCGATGTCAGAGGTCAGGGTGACCCAGAGTATGAAGCCGCGCTTCTGTTTCCCAGCCCCTCTTGAACCTTCCGGATTTACTCCGCATTCTGCCAGGCCGCCAGGTTCTCCAGTTTGGCGGGGAGTGGGCAGCTGCGTCCCGGGAATCTTTACCTGAGGAAGGAAAATGTCGCTGCTGGGATGGCCTCTTGGAAAGAGTTTAAAACCTGAATTCACCTGGAAGCCAACATTTCTGGAAGAATTAAGACATTTTCTCTGGGCGCGTAGGGGCTGCTGGAATCCACTGACAGCCAAGTGCTGGGGGGCTCCAGGGTAAGGGCGGTGTTTTAAGAACTTGCTCTGCTCTCTGATTTATGGGGCAGTGCTGAGTTTAGGGGATTGTAGTGTAAAGTCAGTCATCCAGTTTCACAGCTTTAGCCAGTTTTATTTTTAAAATTTTTTTTTCAACGTTTTTTATTTATTTTGGGGACAGAGAGAGACAGAGCATGAACGGGCGAGGGGCAGAGAGAGAGGGAGACACAGAATCGGAAACAGGCTCCAGGCTCCGAGCCACCAGCCCAGAGCCCGACGCGGGGCTCGAACTCACGGACCGCGAGATCGTGACCTGGCTGAAGTCGGACGCTTAACCGACTGCGCCACCCAGGCGCCCCTAGCTTTAGCCAGTTTTATAAGGCAGGCGTCTTTTTATACAGTAGATTGTTGGTTAAATAGCCAGGGAACTATTGGTAATGGTAAGTTTTTGGTGCTTTCCTTAGTGACAAATCAAGAGTTTACCACATTTTTCTCTTCTCTCGTGAGAAACACTAACAGAAAATATATTTTTGTCTTTATGCTATGGGGACAACCATATTTGGAGGTTGACTGATTACAAGTCAAGTAACAATTTATGTTGTGGGTTCTGTAAGTTTTCTAAGTTACAGTTAGGTTAAGTGAAAAACAAGATTGCTAAATTGGGTCAGAAACTTTATGGACTTTTTTTACTTTTTCTATAGTTTGTTTTATGCATGCATATTTTCACATCCACCACTGGGATTTTTCTCCCTGAGACATAGTTGGCAATATTCCTAGATGTCTGTAGGCTCTTTTCTTGTGTATTCTTTGTTTCATTTAAAGAAAAAAAGAAAAGAAAAGAAAAAGAAAAGAAAAGAAAAATCCTGCATGCCCCTCTACTCTGTGAAAAAGTTCAAATCCCCATCCTTCAGGTCGCTGTTCAGTTTTCTCCCAGGAGATTTTTTTTTCCTCAGAAGATCTAGACATAAACAAGTTACAGTTGTGAATTTGGGAAAACTCCAGGTATCAGAGCCAGACTGGCAGAAAAATAGCTATGCAGTAATTAGAAGGTAGTTTTGTGGACAAGTTAGGAGTCTGGCATAAGTGAAATAATTTTAGTGGGGGCAATTTAGGACTCAGATGTTTTGTAGATCTCATGGAAAAAATGGAATGATTAGCTTAAGCGATTCTTCTTGTCAACACAGTTTGCCAGTGTGTGTACATGGTATTTCCAAGTCTTTATTGTGGTTTGCCAAAGAGTTTGACCTTGCCTTATTTTGAGAATTTGAAGTCAAGCTAAATAGAGTAGTTGCTCTAAAGTCATAAGAATGCTTCAGAGTTGAATTTCAAGAATCTAAGGAAGTGGTGGGAACACTTCTAAAATGGATCCATACATACACATACATATTTAACTTTTTAAATTTTGAAATAACTTAAGACTTAGAGAAAAGTTATAAGAATAGTGCACATAATTCTCAAAATCCTTTCAGTTTCACCAGCATTAACAGTTTGACATATTTGCTTTATCTCTTTTCATATATACTTAGTATTATTTTTCTGGACTACTTGAGAATATGTTGCAGATATACCACTTATTCCCAAGTAAATCAGTGTGTATTTTCTAAAAACAAGGAGGTTCACCTTTCATTTCCATGGTAAAATTGGCAACGTCAGGCAGTTTTAACAACGATAAAATACTGTTGTCTAATCTGCAGACATGCAAACATTGCCAATTGTCATATTAATATCATTTTTAACAGTTTTTCTGGCAATTTGGTCTAGGGTCCTTGAGAATCATGCCTTACATTTAGTTTTCTTGTATCTTTAGTCTTTGTTAGAAAAGCTCCTCAGCCTTTCTTTGGCTTTGATGGCATTGACATTTTTGAAGAGTACAGGCCTTTTTTGTTGTTGTTGACTGTCTCTATTTAGGTTTGTCTGGTGTTTCCTCATGATTAGATTTTGGCAGGAGTATCACAGAAGTGATACTGTGTTTTCAGTGCATCGTGTCGGGGCGGCTCATAATGTTAATTTATCTCATTATTGGTGACGTTGACTTTAATTACTTGCATAAAGTGTTGTTCACCAAGTTTTTCCACTCTCAAGTTACTACTTCTCCCTTTGTGATTTTTAACAATTTGTTAAAATTAGATACGTTGAGATTATGTGAGTCTCCTGTTTCTCATCACCTGTTGATGTTGAGATATTACTATGATGTAAAATGGTAATTTTTCTAATTCCATGATTCCTTCTACATTTATTATATTCTGTTATAAGAAAGAATATTTTCTTCTTGCTTATTTTTGTATTTATCATGGATCCTTTATTTAGTAGGTTATAATCCATTACTACTGTTACATTTTTTGATGCTTTTAAGTTGTCTTGTATTTCTAAAGTGGGAGTCCCTTCATGGGACTTCTGTTTACTTATGCTTCTGTTTACTTACAATGTCATAAAGTCAGATAGCTTTTGTGAAATCTGTACTCCTGGAATTAAAAAAAAAAAATAGTTCTGTAGCCAACCATGAGTTATTTTGGAAGATATTTTTCCACAAAACTATATTTTTACTAATAAAGTTAATCTATTAAAAGATTATCTTAAACTGTTAACAATGTGTATAAAGCTAACTATACCCTTAAAAATGATTAATATGATAGATGTTATGTTTTTTTACTGCAATTAAAATTTTTTTAATGTTTATTTATTTTGAGAGAGAGGTGGGGAGGGACAGAGAGGGAGGGACAAAGAATGAAACTTCAAGCAGGCTCTACACTCAGTGTGGAGCCTGATATGGGGTGCGATCCCATGACCATGGGATCATGACCTAAGCCTAAATCAAGAGCTGAAAGCTTAACCAACTGAGCCACCCAGATGACCCTGTTTGTTACTGGAATTAAAAAAGGGGCGGGGGGATGCCTTAAACTGTTAGAATGTAAGTCAAATGACTTGCATTTGGTATTCAAGTTCTCTTTCCAGTGTTGACCTGATTTGTGCCCTTGAGCAAATTCCTTCATCTTTGGGGGGCTCCTCAATGTCATCTGTTTAATGAAGGTGGTGTTTTACATCTGCAATAAGGAGCTTAGAGAACACATTAAGAGGGAAATAGGTAGGGAAAAAAAAGAGGGGAATAGGTAGGCATTTGTAATTAACATTCTTGCAAGGAAGTTAATCTGAATTATGAGTATTATTTTATATTCATTTGCATTTGAAATTGATTTGTTGACTAATAAGATACCAGAGAAATACTTTATGTGGAGAGTGAAGCAACACTTCTCAAGGTCAATTGAGTGTCCTGTTTTTGTGTTCATTACTAGATGGAAGGCATAACAATCATGATTCAGAAGCTATGAAACTGGTATGAAGGAACATGACATTTTTCAGAGTCCATGGCCTAGCATTGACAAATGAGATTGAACTCTATAATTTGCATGCAAATTTTAATTTCTTTTGAAAGAAGAAAGAGAGCCAATTTTGATGGAGTTCTAAAAGATTTATTGTATAAGGTGAATTCCATAAAATTATGCTGCTTGCCAATGTGTCTACCAAGGGTCTTGTCTGTTTTAAAAGTGAAGTAAATTGAGTGTGTTTTTAATATTATAATCAATGTCATATGACATTTCTAGTCATGATTAAAAGCTATCATATTTTATTACTAAAGAGGTTAAAGTAAGTTATTTAAGTACAGAAATGTAATATACATTTTATTATTATAAAATGTATGTTAAAATAGGGATAGTTGACTTTAATTATATATTATTTATCTTTTGCATTAGAACTTGTAAAGATTTTATAGATTATTCATGCCTTTTTTAAATTTATTATTTTTTTTAACGTTTATTTATTTTTGAGACAGAGAGAGACAGAGCATGAATGGGGGAGGGTCAGAGAGAGAGAGGGAGGCACAGAATCTGAAACAGGTTCCAGGCTCTGCGCTGTCAGCACAGAGCCCGACGCAGGGCCTGAACTCACGGGCCACGAGATCACACCCTGAGCTGAAGTTGGACATGTAACCGACTGAGCCACCCAGGTGC